ATTTTTCTTGTGATTCCAGGCAACAGAGAGCTGCCTGGGTAATGTGCCTTAATAAGAGGTTTTTCATTGCCCCTGGGAGGCAATATTGAACAGAAGAGGAGACCAGATTTTAACACATTACATGGTTTGGATCTTAGGACATAGTGATAGATAGATAGATAGATAGATAGATAGATAGATAGATAGATAGATAGAATTACTCCTAGTCTTCCCTGGTGATGCTGAAAGCACCATCATATTATACAGGCAGATAGTGGGCACTAAAATTCTCTGAAAGCTGTTATTTATAGTAAATTGTCACTGTGACCCAGAGTATCTCACTTCCAATACATGTTGTGCCACTTCCCTCTGTTTCTGGAAATGACAGAATATTTGCTTTCCACTGTGCAGCAAAGTTCATTTGAGGAAAGGAAACACCAAGTGCCAAGGAGCTTATTTTGGCAGATAATATTAGAGACCACAGTTTACAAATTGAGAATGCCCATCTGCATGAGGCACACAAAAGCAGCAGTGGCACAGACAGAACTGTCAGCCTGCTTTTATGTGGGAGGACTGAGGCCGATATTGACAGAAAGAAACTGCTTGTTAAAAAAAGCCAACAAACAAACACTTCTCTATTTTTAATCTGGTTGCAGCTGGAACATAGCTGATTTGTGGTCCTTCAGCATTATTGTGTGTGGTCATCAGAGGCACCAGAAGGTGCCAGAATGGTGCAATACACTGGCAATATGAACATACCTTTAAAATTGTGTAAGAGACTTTAGGGTCTTTCATTCCTAGTTATTTACATGTTAAGGACTTTAAAATCACAGTTGCATGTCTCAAAACATTCTCAAGGCTACAGAAGGAATATGCCATAAGATAGACCACCACAACAGGAACTTGAGATAAAAAGTTATGAGAAGATAGTACTAATTCCAGGCCTAATATCCTGGACTCTAATCTCCAGGAGGTGAGATCTCATTATCACATTATGGCTAACATATCTGGACAAAAATTCCCAGTGTGGCAAACTGTGGGAAAGGAAGCAACTGCTCATACACATACAACATCAAGTTATGAGAACAGCATCTGCTACTACTCCACGGATACCCAAAACTTGGAATGTATAAAGGTAATATCCCCAGGGATCCCCACCACTAAGGAGCCCAGGGTGAGAAAGAAAAAGTGGAATGCCCCTGGATCCATGGGTGGTGGCTATCTTCAGCTTGATCTCTCTGTCTCTCTCTCTCTCCCCCCTATCTCCACCCCACCTATCTCCACCTCTCTTCTATTAATCTTTATGTTTTTATGTTTCTACCCCTACTAAGATTTAGTGTTAAATAAAATCCATATTCTCAATTTATTCTGTGATTCTGTGACCCTGTGATATTTTTTATTTCAACATATGGGCTTGTTTGCACTTTAATTCAGGCAGAGGCATCTCTCACTAATCAGATCATAACAACCAGCTTACCAGGCTTAGCACTTTTGGGAAAATGTCCTCAGTGTTTTAAATATGATTCCTTTAAACAAGTGAGTGTGACTTGCAGACATTCTAAAATTATCTTTTTTCCAAAATATCTGGATCCATGCCTGTATCTGCAGAACTGTTCTTAAGTGATTTAATAAAAAAAAGTTTTGAAATATCACATTTACTTTCAGCTAGCAAGAAATTAATCCCATGTTAATTACAATGATATTTTTCTACATTTTTTCATGTTGTAAGGATCAGATTGTTACTTTATATAAGTTATGGTTTAGATTGATATCATCTTTCCTGAGGTTATTGGTGTTTTGCTCATATGGCCTTCATATTTTGAGAATTTATGAAATTATTTTAGAAGATTTTGTTTCCTATATTTATTATTACATATCACTTTTTATCTTTCCTCTACTAAGTTTTCCAGGTAAAAAATTATTTTTATTGATTTACTTTTAAAAATCCAAGACTCATTCCCTATCAGTGATGTAACCTAATTGTCCCAATCTTCTGTCAGCCACGTGTCTCTCTTTTGGATAGCTCATTGCATGAAAATTGTTTCTAGCTTCTGGATCAATCACTTGTGATAACGATGTGTACCATTTTGTAGTCAGAAAGTTCAATATTTTAAAATTATCATTTTGATGAGTAAAACTGGTATTGATTGAAAACTATTTGCTCTAAGTATTATGGAAATTAAATATTTCCATTTTAACTGTTACAACTGATGCAATATTTTGACACAACTGGTTATAACTATTATTGACAGCAAATTACAAAATGGATTTTCTTGTCTATCTCCAAGAAAGAGACAAAAAATGTTCTTCATCTTTTTTTTTTATTATTAAGTTCTTCACAATGGATTAAGAATGTGAAATATTAAAAGCTCTCCACAATTGTGGAGAGCTGGCAAGGACACAGACAAAGAAGTCAAATAGTAAGTGGTGAGCATTATTTACTGAACATGACGTTAGTTATGCACGATACCAATGTACACATATAAGAATGGATCAAAGTGGCAAATAAACCAGAAGTATTGTAAATTTTCTTTCCTTTTGCAATTTCCAAGCTAAATCACCAATGTTTTTGAAAATTTACATAACTGTGATATTAGGAGCAGAGACTATTATGTAAAAATGCACAAAACATTTCAACAAAAAGTCAATGACCCAAACAAGCCTCAAAATGCATAATACTATTTTTCATTATTATTTTATTAACACTCCAACAGATGTGATTCGTAACTTTCTATGGCTATGCACTGCAACTGCGATGCTATATCTCAAAAGAAAGCAAAATATTCTGATGTCATATACTAGCTCCTTTCTTTAAATTTTCATGCTAAGCAGAATAAAATGGTCAGACCTTTGAAGTGTGAATCAGTACATTCATCTGTTCCTCAGACACAGAGGAGATTATATTTATTCCTACCTTGAATTATTATTAATGCCAAATATCTTTCAGCTTTTCACACTAGTCTAAAAGCTTCTAATAACTTATTAGAAGTTCCAATAACTCTTATGCAATGTTTAGTGTCTCTATGCCACTAGGATATTTAAGAGAAATTAATCAATAGTTGCATTACCTCCATTCCCCAAATATGTTTTCCTGTGCAGGAGATAATTCCTTTACCATTTTGATTTTTAAAATTTGTTTCTAGTCTTTAAGAATATGATAAAACTATTACTAGCTGAAAGTGGTAGTGTAATAGGAGTTCAACTTTCTTCATAGTTACAGGTTTTCTGTAGAAAACTACTGCTTTTCTTTTTCCTTTTTAACACATTTACAGAGACTTTCGATGGAATAATGCAGCTTTCCCTTGTTTTGGTCCTGATTTCCTCATGTACAATCTGAAATCTTTGGCTAAGCATATTTGACCTGCAGAGGAAAAGATGTATGCAGAGTTTAACTGACTCTTGTAAATGTTATACACAGCTGTGCTTTCAGTAAAATGTTTTTCTAAGGAAAAGGAAAACACATTAGGGACAAAAATTCAAACTTTTAAGAAAAGTCAACTGGATACAAATTGTTTTCCAGTCTTCTAACAAGTATCCCCAATAAAAATCTCTCATTTTAGCAATTTATTGATACAGACAACACATTTTCACAATGCCTTCAAATTAAAGAAGACATATGCCACGTTTTCTTCCGAAGCTCCTATGCTGCAAAAAACTGAAGCACATGGGTTACTTCTATGCACATGAAGATTTACAACAAACATATCGAGGTTCTGCTCTTACAGAAGTGTGTTTGAGTTTAGGACCACGCTTCTATCCTTCAGTGTCATATTATACTGTTCTTAAGGCTCCTTATCTGTACATGGGAGGGCCTCTGGCCATTCCTGGCTGCATCCCTGGGAGGCATGGATTTCCAGGTGGATAGCCTGGTACTCCAGGCCTCCTGGGCCCCGGTGGCCTTGTCACAGCTATGGATGGTGGAGGAAGGTTTCCTCCTCGGCTCTGTGGAGGATAGTGGCCATTCAGAGCAGGGCCAGGATGCTGGAGTGTCTGAGAGGAGCTGGCTTCTTGTGGCTGGCCTGTCTTCTTTGATCCATTGCCATCCTGTCCTTTCTTGCTGTCTGGAATGTGTTCAGAGGACAGAATTAACAAAGGTCATGCAAGTCTGAAGCTCCCTGACAGGGAAATCCAGCAGCTGCCTGACTATCCTAAAGGGCAGTAGAAAATCTGGGCCTCCTTTGCCCAAACGTGAGGTAATGCACCTTCATGACCTTTGTGCTGTGTTTTTCATCCACTTTTTTCTGCTCCCGTGGGGGCAGGTGGGCAATTTCTCAAGATGCACTTAGATATCATCTGTCAATGGCGATGAAGGCAGTAATTACACATGGCTCTTCCAAAGTCATCTCTCACCCGGGTTTCCCTCCTAGGCTTGAGGCAGTTCAGAGGCTGTAGGGCATGCATGCATGCATGCATGACAAGGGAAAGGAAACAGCCAGCAAAATTCCTCGGGACAGACTGACACCCACCTGCCCCAGCCAGACTTTCTGATAAGAGTTTCTTACTGTGTTCTCACTACACCTTCTCCATGTGAACCTGGCACAGATGACAAATACTTTCCTACATAGTTCTGGGTCAACAAAATGCAGCAGAAGGGTAGCAGATTTAGACTTTGACTCATGTATGATAGAAAAGAAGGATCACCAACACTTAGAGCAGGCTTTAATTGCTTTCTTCCAGCAGGACTATGACTTTCAGTTCAAAAAGTAAGCTTTTTACTTTGGTGCTGCCAGGTATGGAGTAAAATGTTGCAATATTTCTTAAACAAGCCAAAGAAAGATCAAGCTAATACTTGTGACTCAGTATTGTGAAGGTGTTTCAGGAGAGTATACCAGAGGAAACAGTCCTGGCAGTGAGGAAGACTGGGATCACACATACAGGAGTTCCTCATCATGAGACATTCAAACCAATACTTACCTTTGTTTGGAGTGGATTCATCTTGCTTGTCTCCTTTAGGCTTTGCTGGTGACTGTTCTGTCTCAAATGGATTTTCCTCTTGTTCATTTGATTTTTGTGCCTTTTGTTTATTTCTTCTTTTATTTTCTTCTGCTTGCTAATGATCAGGAGAGAGAAGGCATCTTTCAGTGACTCAAACAGTTTCTCTAATATTTAGTAAAATTCAAAAAATCAATAATTCTCTATTCTTACACTTTGTAACTTCTTTTTAAGTTCCAAGTTAGCTTCCTTGTAAGATTTGGATGTTGCGTTGAGATAATAAATGCTCAGGCTAAATTTAAAAAATAATAGTTTCTTGTTAGACAGTTATTTAAATGGAAAGACTTAGAACATTCCTTTAGTAACCATTGCAGTTGTGACAATATAAAGCCTGTATCTTTTTCTCATTTATTGTTCTTAACCAGTATTAATATTTTGACAACGAACCATGTGCTTCCTTACATTGTGAAGAAGGCGCTGTTATTTCAGGCGGGAAAATGAAAGAAATTATACTATCTATTAATATTCTACGTTCAATCTTATAGTATTTAAGAAAGAGGTTTCAATAAGTAGTGCTAAACTGTGAAGTGACTTCTATGAAATAAATTACAAAAGTTGCATGACACACCTTAAAAATGAGTAAATCATATTTATGAAAGCTTCTGAACAAATATAGTAAGCAATCTGAAATACTGTCAAGAACCAAAATAATACTCTTTTTTAAAAATTATTACTTGCCTCTTCTGCTAAGAAAAAACATAAGAACATTTTCATTTTGTAGTGTATTTAATTACTATTGTGACAACTCTATGAAATTAGTTGTTTTAACTATCCTGATTTAATAAGAAAAATCTGCTATGGAGTCTTTAATTGACATAAGCAGTAAATAATTAATCAGCATATGCTGTTTCCTTTGCTTTGCCTGATTTTGCTCTGTATTTGCACTCTTTCTTATTTTTCCTGTATTTATTTTTAGTGTCCTTACCCTTTATAGCTAAGGATTAAAATAGAATATGGCGTTAAGTGAACCTTGGCAAAATTTCACCTCAATATTTCATATTATTCATATAAATTCCTTTTATAATTTCTATTGTGTTCTGTAATCTTCTCTACATTTACTTGTAGTCCTGCAATGCAAAGTTAAATCCCAGCTTATCTCTGTATAGAATTAACTTTTAGTTCACCAGTATGCTAAATTACCCAATATAATAACCCAATCAAGCAGGTTAAAATGTCTTGATAAACCTGGATTCAATACAATATCTAAGAGCAAATATTCCAGGGTCATTTTTCTTTACCAGTTACTGAGTGACTCACAAAAGCCTCTATTAGCCTTATTTCACAGTCTCCAAAACCCTGTCTCACACCCCTGTCCCAATATTACAGTGTACAGTGTTTATCAGTTAAAGGTACTGAAGATCAGATTCACTGGAAGTAACTGAGAATAACTCTGCTCTGTGATGTTCGTGTTCCTACTGAACTTGCTAAGGATTTATGATGTGCTGTTGTGCATACTGGACAAGCTGATCAATATCAGAGCATTACAGATTTCCTATGGCCCTTTTCCATTTTAATTGTTTTCTATATTTTGTGGCAGGAACATTTTTTTAAAGTATAACTGAACAAAAAAAAAAGACATTGAACAAAAAAGACGTCAACATTTCTGCAAATGCACATTAAGTATGCACAAAGAAGAGATTCATTAATTGTTCAAGCACTCATCACTGGACAATCAGCTCTGGATTTCTTAGATATTCAGGCAGTAATGATTCAGAGTGAAAGAATCTTAACAGACCTTAGATACAACAAGCATGAGTTAATACTCTATACGTACACCATCAGCAGTATAAAAGGTAGGATTAGTCCAGGGTTAGAGGCATAACCAAATACCTTCCCAAACCAGGAAGGAAAGTCGTGCTCCAGAGTTTCTGATATGACTTCATACATTCTAGTCTTCCCACTATTAAACAGAAAAGTTGACAATATATATAAGCTAATCGCATCGCAACAAATCTGGAAAGAGGATAATATATGGTATCTTAACATTATTTAAAACTTTACACTCTGAAGGGAATATTGTCTAGTATTTATGTATTCTAAGGGGGAAAATAGACACCAAAATTCCTACTGTGTGCTAATAGGTTTTGCCGGGTTACCACCTAAATTATTCCTCAGTGAATCCATATATAAGCTGTGAACTCCATACCATCAACCAATGAATGAAGCATTATTTGTGCTCTATGAAGACATGGGGAAAAAATTCAAATCCTGTTTTTTATGTTTGATAAGGAAAAAGTGATCTGCTGCCAATTGTTTTTTGTTCAGCCCAATTCTTCTCTCTCTTTGGTGTGTACCAATGCTACACAGGTCAGTGGCTGTGTTTCAGGATATTTTTATTGTTGTTGCAGCAATCTAGTTAGCTTCATATGTAATTGTTCCAGCTTACTTAGAAAGTTATTTTCTCCCAAGATTATTTTCCTTCAGAAGTATATCAATAGATGTTCTGAAAATCCCTTTTGGTTTATTTTGCCTTTTTCTGTGCCTCAGGGCACAGAAGTTTGTAATTTTTAACCTGGATAAGACTGGCAAAATGGGTTTCTGTGCATCAATTATAATTAGTAGTTTTACTTAGTCGCAGGCATTGTCACCAAATTGCCACCTGATTGTCCAGTCATTGAAGTTTCCTGTCACTGCTTTTCAGTTATGGTAAAGAATTTATTACAAATAGGTCTTTTTCTTAACTTATTCTCAGTATTTAGGACTCAAAAAACCCCAACCTTAATTCTAATCTCTTGTTTTGTTGTAAATTCTTCTCTAAATTCAAGCAAATTTTCTGTCTCATCAGAATTTTAGTCCTGTCATGTGATTCTCCCTTTTAGGTAGCTGTGACTATTGCAATGGCAATCTCTGTCATTTTGCCTTTGGACAAATTTAATGTGGTGAGATTTCTGCTCCTTTACAAGGTGCACTGGGGATTCTACAGATCCCCATTTTACTCACAACAGTAATGTATTGTTTAAACCTTTCATTGCAACCAGAAAGTCTCTTTTACTTTTCTCCTACTCTTGCTGTGTTAATATTTTGTACAAAAACAAAGGCTAAAGACTTTTAAAATTTTTATTTTTTTATCTTGCCTGTTCTCATGTGATACAACTCATTATACTTATATTGCATGTTACCTGGCAGGTAAAAATGATGAAAATAATCCTAGACCTTGAATGCAAGATGTGTTTGCAGGTGTTTAGATGTTTAGAAAAGATCAATGACTATGGAGGCCTTGAAGACTTCAGAAACAAATTCAGTTTCACAGTGGTAGGTAGTACGGACATATGAAATTCTGTGAGCTGGAGAGAGTCATGGCAAAGACTGAACCACCATACATTTATCACACTCTCACTCATTCTGATCTGCCCTTCTTACAGCACACACAGACATTTCCTAAAACCCATCTCTTTCAATCGCAACAGCTCTACTCCTTAAAAATATTTTTTTCTTCAGTGCAGCAGTAATAATAATTTTTTTACACTGAAACTGACAAAAAGAAAAGATTTTCTATTCTACACCTCAGATAAAACTTTCTAAAGAATTAGTCCGTTTTCCAGGATTCCAGCTTCAGGAATTATCCACAATGAGAAATACATCACAATTAAACACTCAGCATATCAGGTGCTAATGCTTATTATAGAGGCACTTTTTTTCATTACTGCATCACTCACTATAATATGAGGAAGAAGTTCACTACAATTGCAAAAAATGGAGTTAAAATGCAAAGAACCTGAAAGGACCACAGTCAAAAGATGGTGGGATGGAGACAATGGTGTACACAGCAGGCAGTGTGGAGAGAAAGAGGATGAAAAGCAGCATGGCCATGTAGAAGTTATTGGATCTGGAAGCCTTGAAGACCCGTTCTTGGGGAACATTGCAGCACATCACTGCCCAGCACTGCAGATACATCGATGTGTGGAGGCGGAACACGTTGATTGCTGGGAGACATGGAGCATAAAAAGATCCCATCCTAGAAGACAAGCAAATAAACAAAACAGTCACTGTGTTATAGGACTTCTGTCTTCCCACATATGCCACACATTCCCTCTGACAGTGTGCTTTGCACACTGTGCACTCAGAAATTCATATAGCCAACTTTATGGGGGTTTATAACTGGTCTTTGTTCTTTTTTTTTAAAAGGTTGGAGATGTATAAAGAATTGTATGAGCTTTTTGTTTCGAAGTCCTCTTTCTCTGCAAATTAAATGATGAGTTGGTAAAATGTTTTTCCACTCTTAATTTTTCCAGGTAGCATCTTGTTTGTATTGTGTAAAAAAAGGATAGCCATAAAACTAGATATTACCAATTCCTACAGCTAGGTATAAACAAAATAACTTAATTAATAATTTATTATTTTTATTTACATACTAGCACTTTTCTAGGAAGGATATTTTTGCTTAATTGGCAGTTATTTTAACTGCTGTTGCCAGGGTAATTTAGTGCTTCATGCCAACAATTTTATTGATTCTCTTAAATACAGTTTTTTCTTGTGTATGGTTACACAGTTATGATGACACCAAAATAGTTGACACGTTTTTTATTTTGATCACACCTTGTTTCTTGTCTCATGCTGACTGAAGAGCAGCTAAATTCATTTTCATGGCCAAATTGCAGAGAATACAAGAGATCAGGAATCTGCTTCTTCCTTAATCCCTGTCCTTGTGATCAGGTGACAAGGTGATCAAGCCACTCTGCTTTTCCCCTGAGTGCTTCAGACATTCTATTTAGATACAGCAAATATATTTACATTAGGATTGGAAAGATCGTCTTGAGTACAGAAAAATGACAGACTTTATTATATTAATATATCTCCTTTCCCCTTTTTATGTATCTTAAATGAAAGATAAAGGGCTTTGCAGAAGTGATGGCTTTTACCACACAAAAAGCCTGATCAGCCAAGTCATATTAAATGTAAAAAATCAGGCCTTAGCAAGAGCTTAGAAGTTAACAGCACTGGCAGAGAACAGTTCCTGAGGAAGACTGAGCATCTTGCATGAGGATTCTACTTGCTGGTGGTTTTTACCAGTCATGCAAAGTCCAAAAATAGAATGAAAACTCACATCTTTTCTCCTCTACATCTAAGGACTAATGCTGCAGCAGTAGCATTGTTTTCACATTCATGTGACTGCACAGATAAGTATATATACATTTGCTTTAAGACCTTTTTGCACAGGAATATGGGAAAAGAATGGCAAAGTACGCTGAAAGGCTAAATTTCAAAGCAAAGCACTACAGCAAGCAATCAGTGAACAAAAGCATGAATTTAATCTATGTAGATTTTTACTGCTTGGTTTTACCAACACAGTGCAAAATCCTCATGTATGTGGTCCAATAATCTGAGCCCATAACTGTTTTGAACTCTTACAAATGATTGCAGTGTACCAGAGTTTGGTGTATATTGCATATGCTTCCATCAAATTAAATAAATGAGACATGATCAGGATTTCAGAAAAATCCTTCAAAGATACAGATAAATTCCACCATCCTGCAGATACAACATGCTTTGCCACACCTACCAGATCATGCCTTGGTTAAAGATCAGTCCCAGCACATTTCCACTTATATCAAACTCAGAATATGATGGCTGAAAGAAACGATACGGGTGTTTTCATTAGGTTTGCACAAAGGTTTTAAAATGAGTTAGAGCAGATGAAAACATTCACTTTGAAGAGTAGCAGCATATTGGCATCATGTTGCCAGGCCTCTTGTTGCATCTTATCAGTGAATCATGGAATAAAGAATATAATTCAAGGCCACAAGGTAGTCTTTAATATAGTTTGCAGCATTTTACTAAAAATCTTCCTGACATTTGTTCAGAGGCAGGTACTAATGGAGAATTAAAAATCATTCTGGGTCCTGGGTAAATTTTAAAGCAACAATTTAGAAAATTTCCATTGGAGTGGCTACTGGTTGCCAAAATATTGTGTCCTCCCGTACAGCATCAGCAATGAAATTTAATGTAATGAATATGATTTGACTGATTTAGTATCCAATTGAACTCTAACACTACTTTTCTTTTTTTTTCATATTTCAGTTATTGTGCTTTTGAAGTTTTTCTTTTAACATTGATAGAGGTTGCTAATAATTATCTTTGTTTAATATGAATATCTTATTTCTAATTTAAATGTTTGATGTGGATTTTTCCTTTAAGATTCAGAATTTTAAGAGCTCCAAGGGGTCCTATTATCTCTTTGTTTGCTGAAGAAAGTCCTGTTTTGTACATTTTTATTTCCAATGTAGACACATAAATACCACCAAAACTCTTTTATTTTTGAATTAATAATTTGACTCCTTGTTCTGATTTTTCAAATCTTTAGTCACTTACCCATCTCTTCTTTCACCTTAGTTATTAATATCGTAATTATGAATAATTCCAGTTGTAAACGTTGAATACACTGAATTTAAGCAACACACGTTAATTTGTATTTATGTGCACCAGATCAAAACTTTCTGCTAAGAAACTGGCTTTAAACTTTTATACTTTATAGTTTTATACTTGAATGTCTGTTTCAAATATATTATTTATGCATATATAAATATTATTTATGTATTTATACACCACAGCTGGTGTCTTGCCTGATTCACCACAATGATGGACAAAAAGACCATCAATAATGCATATCTTCCAGGTAATAATTATATTGATAACTGATAGAGGGTAAGAGGGGCATGAGATGCAAAAATAACAATTCAGCCCTACTGTCTGAAACAAGACAAAGTCATTCAACTGAAGTCTTCAATTAAAGACACAATTTTGACTTTTACTGTTCTGTGCTATTGGAATATTTGAAGCTCCCGCTCTCTTCCTGTGGGAGTCAGCCTGACTGGTATTCCAGGTCAGGCAACCATCACTGAAGAAGAGTTGTATCCCAACCCTAGACTGTAGGAAGCATTTGTTTAAGTTGTGACGACCCCAGAGAACAGTTCCAAAGAGTTATGGGATTGCCCATGTTAATATCTAATTTACTAGTCAATTATCACCACTCCCATACCCAGAATGTTCTCCCTTCCTTGTATCCCCACTGGCCCTCAGTTGGTGCAATGTTCCACCCCACCTACCCCATTGGACCCTGCCTCCCCTTATCCCACCTCTGCACCCCTTTCCCCTATACCCATTGGACCCTACTTAACTCCACCTCCCCTCCTACCCTATATTTTAACCCTGGACCTCCCTTGATCCCTGTCTTTGACCACTGGCTCCTAAAGAGACCTCATCCCCTTGGTTGTTGTGTTCAGATTTTTGGGCCTTGTCCCACTTTTACTTTCACTGTTATTAAAATGTTTTATATTACTAAGCCATGGTCATTGTACCACTCTTCTTTTATTTTGTCACTTATACCCAGAATATCTGAGAACCCTAAAAAGGATTATCAGGGACCACCCTCGACCTCAATATCTTTCTGTGTAATTTTGTTCATATACATATATATATATATGTTTACAGTAAACTGATATTTTTATGTCACATGTACTTATGCATCTGCTTACATAAGTGGAAAAATTAAATAGCTTACTAATACGACACTTGAAAAGCAATTGACTAAAGAGATCTGTATAGGATAAAATATCAAAAGCAACATGGAGATATTAATAAGATCATACAGAATCAGAAAACGTATGACTGTTTTTTGCAGCCTAGATAGATGCTAGCATTAACAGATAAAATAATTTGAAATCCAATTTTTGAACAAATAAAAAGAAAGTCGTCCAGCACAACATGCAAGTTAATCTCTGGAATTCTTCACCAAAGGACATTTTGATCGTAAAAAACATTTTTTTTTTGTAGCAAAAGGCTGAAAATTAATGAATATATATGCATGGCCACTAACCACAGAGACATAGGCATAGCTACTTCCTAAGGAAGGTTTTCAGATGAGCTATTTCCAGAAATTCAGTGATTTCCAGTTTCAACTTCCACTTCCAGCTGTTGTTTCAAGGCAGCTTACTGGACTTAAGGACCATAATGGACCAGACCATTAAAGACATTCCTATGACATTACTGCTAAATAAAAATATCAATTATAAAATGGTTTCAGGATCCCTTATAAGCAGATGTGTTGTTGCCAATTTTTCTGGTCATACTATATTCAAACTCCTCCATCTGATTTTGATATTAAAATTTGTTATCACTACCTGTTTGACCACAGCCTGACTAGCTGGTAGTATTTGCCTCCATCCCTACAGAATGTAAAGCAGAATGTAAAGCCTAGAAATAATGCTGAAATTTCATGGGAGTCAGCAAGTAAGAATGAGATTGTTGTGCTAGAAATGAGGTTTTTAACAGAAAATATGAAAATTTTCACTTCCTCTGGAAAACTGGGATTTCCCAAGATGCAGTTCTTAGCAATGCAACAAATTTTTATATGTATGAAGACAAAATTTTGACAAAAGAAGGTGAAAGTAACACCTATGATGATTGCTTATGCAGAGGTACCCTTAATAGCCTTTAAACTTCGTAGTTCTTTTCTATACTTCTCAATAAGTACAGAAGAGGCTTCAGGAGCTTCGCAAGCTTTTACAATACCATGACTACTACTTAAAAGCTGAAGAACAGCATCAGACCCCTGAAAGCATGAGTAGCTGGCAAATTTAACCCGGATCAGGTCAGTGTGAGACCTGAAGTCTCAACTCCCTAGTGAAGAGTTCTATGCCTGCTTATGTTATGGGCTTGTCTAACTTTACATCAGCTAAACTAATTCTAATGAAAAATATTAATATTAATATTAATAATATAAAAAAGATAAAAATATAAATAATATATACTTCTAGAATAGGATCTTTCATATTTTTCTCCACAAGAACTATGTGCTAGAAGACCCTATCCAATCAATGAGATCGTATTCTGCGAAATGTTCATATAGTAAATGTGTGAAAAATGTGTGTTCATACAAACAAAATAAAATTTACTCTTACAAAATAAAATAAATTTTAAAATTCCTAAAGTTGCCAAAGTCCAAAAAAGAAGACAAACATTAAAACAAAACCAAAATGCAAGAAAATGCATGTAGTTCAGGGATTTTGAAATTGATGTATCTAACCAAAAGTTTACTATGTATCATTGAAAGGAAAATGAATTTAGTGTGAAGCAATGGATAGCAAAGACATTTAAAATCAAATACTTACAAATCCATACTCTAAGTCCCAGCACCAGCAGTAATTGAAAAACCTCACAAAGACGGCTCTCAAAAAATCCCCGATTAGAATTGTGATGTATGTTGTCATCATGTCGGAGACTGTCAGGCGCACAAATTCCTGTTAGAGCAGTATTATCTTTTAGGAATACATTTAAGCAATTAATAGTTACAATAATAATTAAGTACTGTACTAAATCTGTAATTGTGTTTATCCTGCTTCAACATGGACAAAACTCTTAACCTTTCTATGTTCACTGATTCTGTAATGTGACAGATGTCTCATTTTCTAAGAGGTATCCTTGGCTCTAATTTGTGCTCATATTGTCAGATGAGACTTCCAGGGTATAATTAAACCAGGAAAGGCTTCCAGCCAAGATCACTGCTATAACAGAAATCTGAGCTGATATCTTAAACTGCTTTTGATCACAAAAGAAGAGTGAATGGCTTCTTTCTCGAGGAGTGTCAATGTCCAGTAGATATGGAGAGGAAGGAAGAAGATCCTAATGCAAATCTTCATGCCTCTACTTTTATTTTAGGCTTTTTATGTTTCACCAAAGCCTGTTGTAACAGGATTTACCCTGACAACCCAAAAGGCTATTACTCCTCCAAATATGAAATTTAAGGTAAAATTATTTCAGTTATGAGCACTTGGTGTTCTTAGCTTCTTATTCAGCATCAAGGAAAAGAGACGGGCTGATTTTTTCTGCATATATGGTCCCTGCTGGCAACAGGAGGACAGATTGTCAGAGTGATAGAGGAACAGCAAAATTAATTCAATATTGAATTTGTTGTCAAGGAGGAATCAACAATAATAAAGTAGGATCAAACAGAGGGAAAGGTATGTTAGAAAATTGTTTGGAAACCACACTTTATACTAGTGGGTCAATAAGAAAAAATGTTCAACTGAATCAAATAAAAATAAGATTTTCCACTAAACTTCTATTGTTCTTTTGCATTATTTTGCTTGGCTAAAGACAGAGATGCCTTCTCAAAACATAGTGGTGCAAGAGCTGTCTTATATACATGTCCTTTTTGAGCTACTCCTTAATTTTTTCAAAATTAGTAGACAAGCAAGGCAAAGATGGCATCAGAAAGAAGAAGATAAATTAAGAGGATAGAGGAAAGGAGAAGGAAAAAGGAAATGCTTTCAATTCTGTCAATTAACAGAAGAATTTCCAGTAAGACAGGATTCAAAGAAAATAAAATAATTTTTATAAAATTTTTAGTTCAAGAGAAAGTCTCACATCTGCTTCTTCTCACATTTTCTCATGTAAATGACACTTGTTAGCCAGAATAAAGAGAATTTAAATATCATACCCTATAAGACACTGTATGACCTATTTTCAAATATGAGCTCCAAGCAGCTACATTACCTGTCCTACCATTGTTTCCCAGCACGGCCCTCTGGGGACATCAGCAGGATCCACCTGTATTGGAGGAGCAGTTGAATTCTCTGGAATAGTACCATTGTACAAGCTGGCTTCCCATATTGTCATGTTATATTTGACTATCTTTTCTTCTTCCAGCTAAGTAGAGAAATAAATCGGGGGGGAAAAAATCAACATGAGCTTGATATCAACCCTCAAGCTTGTCTATTCCAAGATTCCCATTGCTAGCTTAGGCACAGACATAATTTACAGCACAAAAAGAATGTCTTTCTCTTATATGTGTGTGACTGACTGAAGGTCCTCAATGTTGTCCACCTACATGTCAAACATAGTGAAGGAAAGTAAATATCTTGCCTTGAGGTTGATTTCATCCATTAGGGCAATAATGAAAGTGTAGAGATTGCCAAGAAAAAGAGCAAAGATTCTTCCCAGCTGCCATCTTAGAGCTATTCGAGGGTGGTAATTTTCCAGAGAACTGATTACATCAAATAAAGTTGGACAGAACATTCCTAAAAGTGACATAACCGTGTTCACCTGAGGAGGGGGGGAAAATGTTAACAGTGAAATGTTAGAAATAAATTCCTTTATTATTGATCTGGGTGGAAAATATATTTCCGTTACTACTTTCTATTTGAGTTTTAATAAAAACCAAAATGCACTCTGATTATCACAAGTTGATGAAATCCACACACCATCCCAATCTGACTATTTCGACTAATTGCTTCCTCTCCATGACACACTAGACAATTGTATCTGAACTGTGTTCTGCCAGAGCTAGGTACTGCTGATACGGAGAGGGAGATAAAAAATTTATATTAAGAGAGAAAAGGAGGGTCAGAGAGAAAAAGGTATTTTCCACAAAGTCATCAGCAGCCCTTTATTATGCTGTGCACTTCAGGAGCAGATGAGAAAAAATATATTTACCATGGATTTCTCTACCGCATAATTGCATGTAAACAGTGATGAATCTAGTGTAATGAAATTCTCTACAAACTGTCTACAAATGTAGCTTAATACTTTTATGAAGAATTTCAAATGTTTAGCTATTGCTTCTTGCCTTGTATATAGGAGCTGCACTTTTGTTTACTCTAAGTTGTACATTAGATACTGGGATTTTTGGTCAAATCCTCAATTCATATATTAATGACACAAACATAAGAAAATCTGATCTATAAAATATGAAAAATGTGTGAATTTCACTCAGAAGACAAATATATTTATGCAATTAAATATTAATATCCAATCAAACAATGATTTGTATTCACAAATATGTTAATTATCTGTCAATAGGAAAAATTTTTAGCCAAATAATGTCAGTGTTGCTTTATCAACTCCTTTAGAGACACACTTGCTCCAGATCTTAAATCTGCCACTTTAGAAGTATATTTTTATTCCAGATACAAAAGTAAAACTGTGAGCATAAAGACAAATGTTACCTACTTTCCAGATTATAGCATAACTAATATAATAGCCTTTGGTAGCCCAGTTCATGTTAGCACAAATCTGTTATTGCACCTTTAAACTGAGAGAAAGCTGAATTCCTCCAAGCTCTGTCATCTCAGAGCTTATGCTGCCTTAAATCAAGAAATTTTGTACACAATTTTTACTTTCCTATCAAATTAAAATGTGATAACAAGTAACTTAATCCACTCTCAACAGCCTTATTTCTCTGAATTCCAGAGTTGGATTATTTCACATTTTAATGTTACTTTCTCAGTCAGGCTTTGCTGTTGAAAATTCTGGATTGATTTTCCTTGCTCCATCAGCTCATCAGCTTTGTGAGGCTAACACCTTTCTGCCTTATTTTAGGTCAGGTATGCACTTTACACTCCAGCTCAGAAGATAAACTTGAAGTAACAAACTAGTTTTACAGCATGCACAGTAGCATTTTTGCTGAGAAAATAAAACCTTCCCAGGTTTTCATACTGACATACTTCCCACTGTCGTAGCAAACAAAATCACCATCTTCACTACACACCTGTATCAGGCAGGCTGCATCTGCTTTTGAGGAAAGCATTAAGCACAGATTAGACACAAAAAAAATGGCATCGGACTTTTGGGCAGGGCAAGTGTAAATGGAAGGCATCGGTTTCAACCTGTTGCTACACTGCAGAGTTGTGTCCATGTGGTCCTAAATATCTTTCTCTGTGCCCACAGATCAATCACTCCGCTTGGACCAGTGTCAGAAGAAAAGCAAGAAGAGAGCAGGTTCCTTGAAGAGATCTTATGAATCCACAGAGTGTCTGGAAAACAATCCTAAGAGCGCAGAGGAGGAAATGTAAAGGCCTCTAATGAAAGCAAAATACTAAGGGATATTTGAAAAAAGCAAAGAAGAAACTTGATGAAGTAGGAAGCAGAGACACATAAGCAATTCTTTTGTTAGACATTTCCCACCCACTCAGAATATTTAAATTACCAGGGGGGGAAAAAGCAACATGCAAAGCAGAGGAACACAGTTTCAAACCACGTCTATTATAGAAATAGCACGAACTTCATTTCTTTCCCACCACCCGTAGTTCTCCAGACCTTCCAAGGCAAATTGCTGGGATCTTCTGACAACAAAAAAGATGAGGTAGCCACTTCCAGCAAGTGTGCATAGGGCTAAGAAGTTAGCAAGAACCCTTAGGAATCGAGTCAAATGAATATTTTCTTCTTTTCGGCTCTCCTGCTCCTCCACGATTGCTTCCTGCACTTGTTAGAAAGAAAAGAGCATTATGAATACTTTAATAGTCAAGGCCCCACATTGCTTTCTCAGTTGTTAGAAGTCAGTTAAAAAAATAACAAAGATGCAAAGGGACATCTGGGATTCATGTTTTGAGATGAATGCATATTATCTCATAAAATCTTGTTCAGGTTCTGGCAGATTCCGGGGTTTCCTTTGCCCTTGTTGAGTGTGCCCCCAATGAGTCTTGTTACACTTGTACTCCTGTGTCAAAAAAAACCAGCACATTCTTTCAACTTGCAAAGTGCTACAAGGTTGAGTGATATAGCAGGATAAATGTGTGATTGTCTGTCAGAAAAGGGAATGTCATGCTTTAAAAATTTGTTTGAAAAGAGGAAAAAGTTTTACTCTGAAAGTCAGCAACTCAGAAGGAACTAAAAGGTAGTTGAGATGTAAGAAGCCCCAAAAAATTGGGCAGCGCGGAGCTTCAGACTGCAGAACATGTTTGCCCCACATTTACCCTTGATCATAACTAATACTAAGACTCTGTGGCAACTATAATCTCCATTTTTTACTTTTGCCAGGTGAAAGAGCTTTTTGTCTGGAGTGTCCTCATGCAAGGAAGTTTTGCTAAAGCTTCTGACTTTGGTATAGAGATCAGTTGCCCAGAGGGGAAGCTGAACTGCCTGGTAATAACTGCCTTTCATGGTCTGCTCCTTTTGCAGCATGTGTTTGTCACATAAGTGACAGGAGACTGCAGCAGCTTTCTAACAAAACTCACTCAAGCCAAGACTTCACCCTTTCTTTCTGAGGTTGCTTGTTTGTTTGCAAGAATTACAGTAAAGCTTCATGAGTTTATTTCTCAAAATTAAGCCTTTTTCTCAACTGATTTGTATTATTTCCAAAATAGTAGCTTTCAGCATCTGCTCTTCATAGACAGGCAGGGAAGCTCATACAGATTCAGTGCCTTCAATCTGTATTTCTCCAGTATTTGCTTTCTTAGAATCTTCTCTTGATACCTTACACTTGAGGGCAGTTCTCTGTTACTCCTGCAGCTGAGGAGGCAGGCAGGGAGAGGGGGACAGGAGGACAGTCTCCTGCTGTGGACAGGAGAGGTGGAAATGAGCAGAGCAGCCAGTGCTTGGTGCTCCAGCTCCCGTGGGGTCACACTTGTCAGTGTGACTGCGAGCCTAGCATCCTCTTCACTGCCTCACAACATTTTGTATTCCTGTATTACATTCCTTGTATGTCATTGCATCGAAAATTATATCTTCCTTTGCATGCTACACGGGTGTGTCCCAGCCACCCTACAGCACAAACACACTCTTTAACATTTAACATATAGAATATATCCCCCCCACTGTTTTCACAGCCCTGCATCTTACATCTTGCCCCAGATTCTTTACACAATTACTCTTGAAATCAGTATTCATCAGCATACTCTATGGGCTGGAAAGAGGCCTAAGAACATTGCCTTGCAAATTGGGCCATATTTTGTAATAAATTTGGAAATAGAAACATTTTCTTACGGAAAAGCAAGTATAAACTCTAAATTCTGAGGCCTGTTCTTCTGATAAATAGCCCGACACCGATTATTCTATTACTTATTCTCTGTAATAAGAGAAGTTGACAATGTAAGGTTGGCAAGAGGGAAGACAAACACCATAGAAACTGGAAGCCATCAGAGATGAGAAAGGAAAATATTATTTTTACATTAGAATCAGTTTTCTAAAACAGAGGATATAAAACATGCTAATTTTCTTTATTTCACAAATAAAAAGAAAAAAAATCTGATGGTAATCAGAGACCCAGAAGGGTATAAAGATGTCAATTTGAGTATACGTTTCTGAGCCTCAGCACACCTAACTCTTGACCTTTATTCCGTCTGATTCACACCAGTGTGAAAACCAAATCGTGTTGCCTCTCCTTAGTAAACTCTGTTTTACCTTAAAGCTTGTTGTGATGGAGGCAAACTTATTATCTGCTGTCTCAGGATTTCCAATCAAGTAGTCCCAACTTGTGAACATTTTCCAGCTGAAATTAAAACTAGTGTCATCCCCACCACCATCATCATTTGCATTCTTTGCCATTCTACAAAAACCACAAAGACACAGAAAGACTTTGTTAGCACAAAATTCTGATTTGTGGGCATGATTTTTAAATGGTTCCTAAATTCTAACTTCTTTTCTGAAAAATTCTACATCATTCTTTCTGTCACTTATGCTTTATTAAATCTTTATTTCTGAAACAAGATGGAGATTTTCATATTTAGACAGTTTATAAGCTCACCACACACATTTTGATGAGAAAGAATGAATATATTTCTTTAACCTCAGAGAAACCCTGCTGGATAAGAAGCTTAATAGAAAAACAATATTGAGAACATCTCTTAAATAGAAAGGTGCAGAACATCCTGAACTGCAATAGACTTTATCAGAGAGTTCACAAATAGAAAGAGAAGAAAAGAAGTCCAATAGGTAAAATATTCTAAAATAACAATAAACAAAACAAATACATAAATAAAACAAAACAAAAATAACTAAGTATATAAGGAATATTCTAAAACAACAAGACAGAAGAAAACATGGTTGTAACATATAAAATAGCACTCATACAGCTATCTTCCCTATCATCTCCTATGCACATACAAAAAGATTTATTACAGTGTCCAGAAACATAAGATTATTTCTTCAGAAAAGCATTTCAGATTAAACATAATCTTGTCTTCGAAGTTCTCTGTTTTAAAGGGGTTTCATTCATGCAATAAGCATGGCATTGCTTTGCGTAGTTTGTTGCCTAATTCAAGTCATTAAACTCAAGGAAAGAGTGTTCTGATAAGGTACAAATCATGTACCTTATGTGATAGTCCTCAGTATTTCTGGTCAGGAAAAGGTGACACTTATTTAAAATCTCAATAATGCTGCAGAGTTATGTTATTGATATTGATGCGTTTTATGTACTACATTTTAAAAAGTCCAATAAAATGTATGCTCTGAAATCTAGGATGAGAATAATAAGTAAATAATACATAAAATCTTTCTGAGAGGCCAAAAATCAATACCAGAGTTGGTCATACCCAGAGGGGTCAGGGATCTTCTTGCTATTTTATTGTAGTAGTTTGTTTCCTCTCCAAAAATATATATATGTGACTGAAGACTTTTTTCTCAAGTGATTCTTGCCTTATGCAGGAAGCCAATTTGAAAACAGAACATGAAGTAATCTAGAGCTCATGCAAGTGAAAAATACTGGCATTAGAACAAAATAATGGAAATACACTAACAGCATTTTTCTCTATATTTAAAGTGTCTTTGAATCCTGAACTGCAAGCCCCTTATTTTTTTCACTACAGGCTTTTTATAAAAGTACTTGCTAGAGCCGGCTACTACTATGTTAGGTTGTCATCTTGTTTGAACCAAGAGTATTAAAGATTATATTAGCTGGCAGCATTTACTGTGGACTGTGAGCCACATGCAGTATTATTAGCCATATGCTTCCTTCTTGTGTTCTTCCTTCATAAAAGAGTTTAACTCACATAAAGTACCACTAAAGATAGAATTATTGCATTTCCTGTATTTTAGCTGAAAATCTACTGGATGCCAAGTACTATGAGAAGATGGGCTGACAGATCTCTTCCTCACTTTATGCATTCATTTTTATTTTTGAAGTTTAGGAGAGAAGTGTTTTGCTATTTCAGTAGAGATTTATTCTCACTTTCACAACACTGTAACACAACTTCTGGTGCAGAAGGACAGATAAATAAATACAAGTTGAAGGAGTCTTGCATAACTTTGACCTTGCACTAGATCCTGCATTGTCATGTAGTTAGAATTAGTGCACTTTTTAAAAAGACAGTCTCCAGGGTCAGCAGTGGAATTATCTGCCTTTCTGAATGTACTTTTTTCCAGAGCCAAGCAGAACTTACGTTCGAGTGACAATCATAAAGCTATAGCCAATAGACCCAACTCCAACAAGGAAATATGAAAGAGGCATCCTGAACTTGAGCCACCCAATTGTCCTCTGGTTATTGTAATAACCATAAAAGAGTACAGAATACTGTGCAAGGCCCTGAAAAGTGAGAAAAAAAATATAATGTCATTTAATTATGCACATAATCAGTAAATGCATCAATAGCAATGTATTAAAACATTTATTTCACTGAAATAAAATCAGTTGCAAGTATCACTATAACAAGGATCACAGAATAGAAAATGTGTCCCCTTATTTTAAAAAGACAGAATACTTCATAGCAACTTTAAAATCTTCTAAACTGTTCATTAACAATCTGTCTACAATTTAATGAGTCAAAACTTCTTCATCAACATACTTCTTGTAAAGAAAGAACCACATGTTTTTTTAAATTTATTTTTCAAATTACTAGCAGAGAAAATCCCATATTTTTAACTTAATTTTCATCTTTCAAAAAGTTATTTGCATTAGTTTGATATGAAAATCTTATATGCTTTCTTTGTGTAATAACAGTTGTCTGCTGTTCATTGGGTGATCGTTCAGTATATGTGATAACCAAAAGGTAGGGTCATTTTATGGGTGATTATTCAGTACATAGGTCTTTTGCACATATAGACTTGACTCCAACGCTGTCTAAAATGTTATATAAGTTCACTATCTTTCTCAGCAATTCTAAGTCTATCTTCTTTTCTGAATATCTTAGTATTAATTACCCTCTCTTCCACTGGTTAGACAGATGATTTTTCAAAATTCTTTACTAGTACCTTATTAACTGTAAGAAATTGCTGGCACCTGCACGGATCAAATAGCTAAAACTTCCTGGTAATCCTCAGGTTAGTGCAAGAACTCACCTCCTAAAAGAGGAACAAAGCCAGAGCCTTTACCAGGACAGCTCAGTGCATGCACAGCAGTGACAACCCTCCAGCTGGACGTAAGAATTCCAAGTGCAATATGTAGTATTTGACCACATATTGGGGGATAGACCATGCATAATTTTGACAGTAACAAAACAAGATGAAGGATTGGTGAATTAAAAAACATTTGCTTCCCTTCTGTTATTCAGTCACCCAGTTTCCTTAAAATTAGTAACATCTTTCTCTTATTTATTTTTTCAAAACATGCACTTGATTTATTGAAGCTTTCACTATACATGAAACTAGTCATAGGCTTATTTGAAAAACTTAATTCACAATTCTAAGCTGAAAATCAAATTTTGATATATGGCACACATAAATATTGTTTAAAATATCTTGATCCACATATCTCATTTTTCTTCATCTCTGACTAGATTTAAATATGTCTATGCAAAACAGATAAAAATATTCTCATGTCTAATAAGGCAAGTATTCTAACAGAGCACATTTTTTGCTAAGTAGAAGTAAAACTTCTACACCAGTCAGGACACATTCGAATTCAATAGTATGCATGTTGCACATTTTTGGTCACTAAAGCATCCTATAATTCCATTTTAGCCCAGGTTACAATACAGCCTAATGCAGCTCTGGAGAGCCTTTTGGGTTGCCAAAATTATTAAAATGCCTTTTTAGTCTCTGTTTTCTGCACGTCAGGGATAATTCCTGCACTGTGTATCATTCAGTTTGTTGATTCCACAGCATTTCACCATACGATTATGTAAAAGTAGATGTATATGGAAGATCTCTTTCACTCCTTTCTGAGCCTAAAATAAAAGATTACTTATTGAAAGTGTTATTGCAAGACTTGAGACTCTAATATTTTATGACTGGATTATAACCTGAAAACTGTATGTTAAACCTGAATTCCAAGTAAAATATATCAAAATCCAAATATGCTTCCCTCTTCCATGTCAATAATGTAAATACCATTTCAAGCACAAAAGAAAGCAGAATATGCATGCTGAGCTCATCTTTACTGGTCTTAGAGACAAGTGGGATATTATGATCCATTTATAAAGAGATGTCTCTGCCTGCAATAAGGTGACCATAAGAGACCATACACTGCATTCAACCATACAGATATTATTTAACAGTAACTATGAGGGGGAGACAGAGAGACAGAAAGAAATGGGAGTGAGGGGTTGTAAGAGACCGAGAGAGAGGGAAAGAGGGATGGAGAGACAGAGAGAGATTAAGTAGAAAGTTAGCACCAGTAGAAAGATACCACTATCACCAAGTGAATTCATTTGGCATCCTGCCAGTCCTTTTTCAGCCTGGTCTTCTCAGTGGTGGGGTCCCAAGTCATTATTCTGTGGTATCACCTTTATACCGTCCAAACTCCAGATATCCACGAGGTTCCTGTGACTTGGCATGGCACGTAGATAAGCACTTGCTCCCTTTCTCACAGTTTGCCAGAGTGGGAATTTTTGCTCATTTGCTAACCAAGCCTTCACCCCTGTTAGGCCTGGAATTAACTCCTTCCTACTGCAGCATCTATGCTTATCTCAGGTTCCATTATGTTGGCATATATTATGGGGACAGTGTTTCCTGCTGCATTTTTTACATCCTTTCATAGAGTTTGGAGTTCTTTGGGTTTTGTTGGGGTTTTGTTTAGGATAAAATATTGATTGGTGATGTGTGATCTAATTTACCTGGTAGCATACAAGTGTTGCTAGCAGATGAAAGGTATTATTTCCTGTGCTGTCTAAACAGAGATGTCATTGTCTTCAGGGAATATTTGTCAGTTTGACATGCCTCAAGAAAAGGTTTTCCCTTCATTATTTCATGGGATCCATCTATTTCATTGCTGTATTCTATGTCTATTATGTTTGCATTTGCTCCTTCTGTTAACTTCTACTTTGTTACTTATTCCACTTTCTTCTTCACACCTGTCAGTTTCTGTTTCTAATAATTATTAAAAACTTTTCCTGTCTTTCCACCATGCCTTCATCCATCTTCTCTCAAATACATTTCTTTTACAAGCTCTTCTCTGATATTCTGTATAAAGCTTTTCTAGCCTATTCTCTTTATAAAATCTTCAAGTTACTATAATTCCTTTTTTCTCCAATATTTCTCTGATGTTTTTATTTCTCATTTTATAATTTCATTATCATTATCTATCTTTCTAGACACATGTTTGGAAATTATTCTTACTGTCATTCAAATATACAATTTCTGAGGCACAAGATGCAATGTCATTTCATAAAATAGTCACTGCAAAATGTTACATACACATGTTTTTAGAAAAATCTTCCAATCCTTTTTTATCCAAGGAGAATCTATCACCGGCATCGTATGTAATCAAAGGGATAAAATGTATGGAGCTCACTGATATTTTTAATGTATTTTCTTCTCTTTTTTTCCCTAATTCATACTGCATTTAAAATTCAGAATCCTAATCATATAAAAGTGGAAGACCAAATTCACATTTAAGAAATGGAAATCCAGTACCACAGAATGGCAAAACTACTTTGAAGTATTTCCCCATGTGTCTTTGGATTGCTATATACGCTGAGACATGCTTGTGAATATCAAGCTTCATTATGTGTTTTTATCAGAAAGAAACATCTATACAGAGACCTTGTGAAAAAATATGTAAATTAATTGTCTTCTGAATTATGTCCTGAAATACTTAATATTAAAAAACTGAACATTAAAAAATGAAGCGATTGTGAATAAAAGTCATGTGGATATGCAATATTGCAAGATTATGCACTTACACTAAAATCCCAGAGAGTAGCAAAATTCATAGCAGTTGCTTCTTCAGCTCTCGGGACAGTTTTTCTAGGCAAAGAGCCATATGGCTTACCCATCAAAGCCTGGAACCAAAAATTAAAAGTGATATAGATTTTAAAGCAAAATAGCAGGAAAGGACAAAATGGACAGTGATCTCTCATTTCTTTGGAAGACTGGCTTCAAGCTCCTACACACTTTAATGAAAAAGACTTACTTCTATAATTCCTTTCACTGCTCCTCCACGTTATTGGTTGAAACTGTACTTAGCATATGCATTTCATGCTTAGCATATGCATACCATGGTGTGTTCTAAATTTAAAGTTCCACTAGTATCAATGGAGTGCCAAACTGTGCCTCTTCCATTCAAAGGCAACACAGAAATTCAACCATATTTCTCTAATGAGTGGTGTTTATCTTAAAAAGACCAAATTTTTTTTTTCTTGCATTACAGATTTTATTGGGATATTTTAAATAAAATGTATGGGAAGGTGCTAGGGAATCAGTTTTTGGATTCTGACAGTTCCCCTGCTGCTGGCAAGATGCTTGTTCAGGCACAGTACATCTCCTCACAGGGTCCTTTCCAGTCAGCTGAGACATCTCCTAACTCCCAAGACCACTCAAAAAATCACTGAGATGTTTTTGCAGTGACATCAGATGATGAATTCCATCAAACCCTACAGATTTGTGGGGATCTAGTTGGAGGGATCACACTACTGAAACGCTGGGCTGGGAAGTTGTTGGAATTTCCCACCTGACTCTTTCTAATCTGTTTACCACAAAATCAGAAAGATAAGAAGAATATGGGAATTGAAATCAGGGAGATGGCACAATAATTTTAATTCCATTAAAGCCCTGCTTTTAGAAGGCCAATATGGTGGCTCAAAAAATCCAGGAAGTATTACATTTCATAGAAGTAATTCATGTCTGAGGAGTACAATATCTGCTCTAAGTACCAGTCTTAACAGAGATGTTGAACAGAGGAAAATATGAGAGGTCTCTCCTGACTTTACAGTCCTGTTACATCTTATCAGCATGTGAATATTGCATCTGAAAGAATCCTCTGAGCCCCAGGACACAGCTTTCTATTTAGTCACGATAGTTCCCCTGGCTTTTTCTTAGCCTCAGTTCCTCCACTTTGTTATGCACAGAACCAACAAAAACAAACAAACAAACAAACCCACTCCCCCCGACAAAAAAAAGAAAAAAACTCCACTCCTATGTCATCCCAGTCTTCAAAACCATTTCAGAAGACAACCCTAAATATATTTTACATTTTCCTGTCCTAATTCAAGACATCTTTCTGTAGAGATAGCTTTTACAAAGGAAGCCCTTTTTTACAGGTTTAGAACAGTCTATTACTTGCAACTGGAGCATAAAGAGACTAAAATCTGTTTAAAGCTCCAGTCCTATGAAATCTCACTGCGAAGACAGAAATCCACACAGCAATCCTCAAAGATAATTTAAAAGATTCCCACCTCAGGCACCATTACAAGACCAAAGGTCAATCCAAAGAGAATCATGTTTATTCCATACATCCAACGCAAGAATATGAAATAGGATGCTACTGATGAGCCAAAATGACCTATGAAAACATGAGATGTGATAAAAAGGCAGATAATCTAGTCCTTTGATGTTATTTTATCTAAGGATGCACAAAATTTATTTAAAATAAGTAAAATCAGGAGAGGCTTTTACACATTTGGTTGATTCTAACTTTAATTAATTTAAAATTCTAATTAATTCCAAATTTAATTAATTTTAATTTTAATTTTTTTCTTTATTACCATAATTTGAATAACATTTTGCATATTGCATATTAGTACATCTTGATCTGGCTGAAAAAAGAGAAACAAAAATATAAAAGTATTAGTTAAATAGAGTATTTAGGGTCATATAAAAGCTCTGATACTTGCTATTATTAAATAATCTCTAGAAGAATGTTTCAATTATTTTTGTATTTTTTTCTGTCAGATGTGGATTTTAAGCATTCTTGTCATGCTAAGCCAGAACCAGCCCAGTTTTAATAGGAAGCAGCACAGAATAAGAGTGCTCACCAGATTTTTTCACATGAGATGAAAAACATTATCTGCAAGTGTTTGTACTCTTTTCTTCTCTTACTTTTCTGTTTATGTGCTCTATCTGTGGCCAGGTGTGCAGGCAGTCCCATCTTTAGGTGAAGGATTTGACCTCACACACTCCAGCCCCCTGTCCCAGACCTGAGTACAGCTGGAGGCTGCAGGGAATGCACTGAGAACCAAGGGCCTGATTTGACCCATTCTCTGCAAGTCAGGGCAAACAAAAATAAAAGCTCAAATTCATCCCCAGCACAGCTCTGCTGACTACAGGAGAGATATCTGTTAGAAAAGTCCCAGATTTCAGTTTCATTACCATTCATTTGCAGGGGAGAAAATGACCTTTCAGTAGATTTTTCACACAGTCTAGCTTGGGAGCCTGGAGCAAACTGACAGCAAATGAAAAGTAAATCTTCTCAGAGAGACTTATTTATATTGTTATTTCCAAACACTTTTGCAGACATGTAACACATTCTTTCAGTCTGTAATATGAAGTTAATATATCTTGTGTTATTTGGGACACATATATTCATATTTTACTCAGCTCAATCAGTAGAAAATTTAATAAACTTAAACAGGTATAATCCCAAAGTATAAAAAGATGCCAGCTAAGACACATTTATCGCAGCTGTGCAAAGGGAGGAACAAGCCATTCTGTCAAGGATTTCACCTGTGAACAAAACCAATCCAAGTTTCACCACTATTTTAAATCCACTCTGAGATGCAACATGTTCTGTGTATGAATGAAATAGTTTAAAGTAGACTTCAGCCATTTTTTCCTGCATGCACAGCCTCACCACACTAGGCATTGACATGAAGATTGGTATGCATTATATGAATTTCATCAGTGGAATAGGAGTCAGCCTTCCCCAGCTCAGGCCTGTGTGAGTCCCATAAAGTCCTTTTGCACAGATAATACAAAATTTCTGTTCTGTAAGGAAAAGAAGCATCTATTTTCTAAATAGGAATACTTCATCTGTTTGTCAATTTCTCTTTTAAACATCAAAGCTCCAACCTCAGATTCACCTATTGCCAGCATGGGGATGCAGCACAGCAGAGTTTTGATGCTCTTTGTTCTAAAGCCAGCCTCCCTGTCCTAGAAGGAACTCACATCTTGAAGAAGGGAGCCTACCTGAGATAGCCCAGTTCTTCAAACCCTTCCTTAATCTTTATAAATAGCTGGAGGACTGGAAGAGTCAGACTCAACTGAGAAAGGCTCTTTATGTTGTAGTGGGAAGCATTTGTTGTAAAGGGAGTCTAAGTGGCAGACCATCACTCAAGCACTTAAATCTCCTTCAAATGAAGGGCTGCAGTTTAAATTTGTCACTGGAACTGCAACACAAAAGTGACTTGTGACAGACTCCTACTTTCAAGTACACCCACAGTACTAACTGCACTGCCTCGTTTATGTATGGGGCGTCCAACATCAATACTGTTCTCTCTGTGTTATTATGTGGCTGACAATGAGAGAAATACAATTTACATGAAGCTCAAGATAATGAAATAAGCGGCAAAAATAATTGCAGTATAGCCTATACTGGATAATCTGTATAAAATAAATACAGACAAAATAAAGTGAAGTGAATAAAGTGAATGGCTAAATCCCAATTATACTTTCAATTATACTTTCCTAGGATTAATTTCAACACTGGCTCTTTAAGTACAACCTGTATAATGACAATTTTTAGCTGTATAAGTGATACTCTGAAGAAAATGATCAACTAGTTAATTATCAAGTTCAACAAATATTAATGAAAAATTAAATGCCATTGATTTTAAACTATGCATTGAAACAGGCACATATTCTAAAGAAATTTATCACTTTGGCAGACATCAGAAATATGATACTAGATACTATTCGTACTTACTTTCAATCTCCTTAATTTTCATTTCCCAGGGTATGCAGGCTGTCTTAAAATTTTCAAAATCTCTTTGAAATTTCATCCATTTCTGAAAAGAATCACAAAAAAAAAAAAAAAAAAAAAAAAAAAAAAAAAAAAACCACCACCATTATCTCAGTGCCCAGATGTTCAGTTTTCCTTGACCTAATGTGACCCCTTAATCATCCACAAAATCTATTGGCAGAGTCTACAAAGTAATTGTGAAGAACCATCTCCTTTTGCCTCTTTTAATATGTCTTCTACTAGATTTGTGTGAAGTTCCTATTTCTACCACAAAAAGAATTATTAGCTAATCACTTCCTTTCATGTCAATCTTTTTTTCTATTTGTTTTTTCTTTTTCTTTTTCTTTTTCTTTTTCTTTTTCTTTTTCTTTTTCTTTTTCTTTTTCTTTTTCTTTTTTCCTTCTTTGACAGAAGACTGTCTCAAGGGAAAGACTGGTCTTTGGATTCAGTCCACACAAATACTCAATCTACACCAAGAGAAATTAACTTTCACAAGATATTGAACTCTTGCAAATTCCTGTAAAACAGCTTGGTTTTGTTTTGATGACAAGTTTCAAAAATTAAACCATAAGCTTTCATTAGAAGTATTCTCATGTAAGAGCAGTGAAAATAAAAATTTAAAATCCATAGAAAGACAAAGAACGCTATTGTGGAAGATGAGTACCCATGGCAATAAGCTCTAGAAGTCTTCCCATTAGCTATACAGTATTTAGTCAAACAATCAATTTACCTTGGTCATCATCACTTTGTATGCATAGAATTTTTTTCCTTTTCCTTTTCCAAGAGCACCTTCAAACTTTTCAACAAAAAGCTGTGCTTCCCTGGAAAGCGAGGGCAAAAGAGACATATATATTATGTTATAGCAAATTTTATATTGTCTCCATTATATTAGTGTAATTTTTTACTCCTCACAGAGCTTTATAAAATCTTGTTCCCTTTGTAATGTTTGGAAAGGAAAGCTCTGAGATTTTCTATTTTGCAGAAGTCTATGTATGTAATGTATACGTAATGCAAAATACAAGCAACTTCAGTCACCTGATCTAATACAAACATATCGGAGCTCTGAGATCTGCCTATGTCCATTAAAAGTTACTAAATACGATTAGTCACAGTAAGTTAGTAAACTGACTTTTGTAGTTCAGCTACTGCACAGTTATTCCTGCTATTCTGACAGTCATTCTGACAGAAGAAAGAAGGATCTTCATGGGACGCTGCGAATTCTTGGTGGTGATCATGTTTCCTGCTTTCTGTAATCCTTTGCTTTTTCCTACTCTTCTAATTTCTTCCTTCTCTCTTCTTTGATAGTGAATAAAAGTGAATTATCATTATGATTACCAGTATTTGACCTCATTTGTGCCTTAGTCTTCCTCTGGATACATTTGAAACTCCCCACTCCCAGCTTAGGACACATTGCCAGGTTGGGACAGATATGTGTAGACTAGAGCTTTAGTTCCCTTGTGCCCACCCGTCTCAACACTACATTTAATTTAGCTCTTCTGAATTTTTGCATGCATCTTCTCTAGCAGTACCATTCCTAGAGTAATTTCTTTGAAATGCAGCTTCACTGGTCCCCAAAAGGCTAAAATTTTGACTCCAGAAATATATAAATTAAATAATATAAAGATGAAAGGAAGACTATTAAACTCTTTTTAAAACACATAAACTGTTTACACATAAAGGATTACACAAAAGTGTTACACATAAGGGATTTAAACAACAAAAAGATGGGATCAAGTGCATACTAATGTTTCCTCCATTTAATCCAAATTCCATTTATGACTTTCCATTATGTCTCTCCAGAGAAAATGTGCTCTAAAGGCTAAACGTCCTAAACCACTGGAAAACAGACCAAGGATTCTTAACTGTCAGTGTACTCATAATGCTGTAAACTGTTTTGTTGTCACACTGGATAACTTCAAAGCACTCTATATTATGTTTATTTTTATTATATTGTATTGCAAAAAACAATACAAGGAAGAAGGTAGACTATTGGGAAAATACTAATTTTCATGCATATTTATTGTGATCCACATTTCTTTCTTCTCAGAACTGCTACAGATAAGTTTACCAAGTGAAATTAATTATTTTGCCTAGATCTTCTGCTCATAAATTTTTTATAAGGGAGGAAAAAGATAGTGTTAAACTGCAAAATCTGGCAGTGTTAATGACAGTATAGCAGTGTAGGTGAAATAAAGGAGAATTAAAATTACGTGAGATGTCCATTAACCACGTCACAACTTTTTTAATTTAATGGTTAAAAATCTTAACATCTATGAAAGTAACTTTGCATTTTTAGTTAGAAAAATGCTTAGAGTGATCTTCAGTCTGAAGATTTATTGAAGCCTTTCACAACTTAGACACCCACTGCAAACAATTGCTTTAGCTTGCAGTAGCAAGGGTCCAAATAAGTGCACATAAGTGCAAAATTGAGTTATTGAATTTAATTTTCAGTCATTGAGAGCTTTCCTTATTTGAGAGCCCTCTGAACACTCACTTTTACAAGTGCTTTCTCCCAAACCCAGCTGGTGAAACATTAGGGCCAGGGCAAGTTCACCTGACCTTCTCAGGGCTTCTGCACACCTTTTCTCAGCATTTGAAATTATGAATGTTAATCTAACATTTTTTTTCTCTCTATAGCACAAGGAAAGCAAAGATTCAGATGAGAAGAGATAAATATAACCAGCCACCCCCAAAGCTGCAGAGCCCATGTATTCATCATCTCATAAGTATTCCTTGAGGATCAAGTCAGCGTCCTTTTAAGGGTGTACATCCTTTATTTCCAATCCTGTGCTTCTGGATCACATTTGTGTTCTGGATTTTTAAGTCTGATCTTTCTGTATTTAGCTAACATTGACACTGACTGAGGATTCTTTATTTTCCAAGCCACTCTGAGTCCTCTAGAGATTTTACAACACACTGCTCACAAATATTTTTGTCATTTTGATTCCCAGAAAAATCTAAATTCCAGCCCTCCCAAGTAAGTCAGAGAAAATAGATTGGTTCAGCTACAGGAAACCTGTGTCCAAGGGTCACCTTTAAACACAAGCCTCAGGATCCAAAATCTTGCTGCTCTGTCAACAGATATAAGGGAGTCCTGACAGCAGATGGCAGCTTCCTCTTAAATTCAGCAGTCAGTGCTGGAACAGTGCCATAAAAGCACACAGACTCAATAAACTGCACCCCTATCAATCTCCCAGGTCAGCATACTATATTCTACTACCACTTCTATCACTGGGTAATTCAGGCTTGTTCATGAAAATTTTCTGAAATCAAAACCTACAGAGTAGAAGACTTGTGCTTTCAGTCACTAATTATGTTACACTGCAGAATATGAAATTTTCAAATTTTAGGTTGAGATTTTTTCAGAGTGAAGAAATAAGTTAGAAATTTAAGGACATAATGAGAAAACAGCAATAAATTAATTTCTAAATCCTTGATAGCATACAGGAGAACATTTAGCATCTATAGGTGAAACACTCAAGCTCTCCACAAACTTGTTCTGATATAAAATAAAGTTAAGCAAAAACAGGAAGTAATTTTCCATTTTTCCTTTTTTTTCTATCAAATTCCAAAAAAAATATTTATCTTAAACCCTTTTTACTAGTTTTAAATTAATTTGGCAAGGTTTTCCACTTAAACAAGTTTTTCTTATCCTCATCTGCCTCCTGGACCCCCATCAAGCAATTTTTCAAGTGCTATTGTATTTAGGCTTTTTCTCCAAGACAACCCAAAAAACTGCTTTTTGAAGGTGGTGATCTGGACGTACAGATTTTATGCTGCTGATGCTCCTGAATGCTTCCTGGAATTCTGTTTTGCCAGTGGCTGAAATTTCCCCTCTTCTTGCACCACTTCTTCCCTACATGTTTTATAATCTATATTTCACTGATTTTCATTCTGTTTCCCTGCATTGTACTAAGTTCATCATTGCACCACAAGCAAACATTTCTTACTGGGTGGTTACAAGTGCAGTCAACTGAGTTGCACAAGAAAGACTAAACCAAAAAACTGTTGGATCCGTATGTACACAATATTTATGAAGTTATTTTCATGTTTCATCAAAGAAGCATGAAGCAACGCCTTTCACTTTCTTAATAAATTGTTTTCCCATACTTAAAAGTTTGCTGTATAAATCCTGAAAGAAATCAGCTAAGTCCAAATGGTGGACTTGTAGTATTATTTTCATTTTCACTTACACTGAATTTTACTCTGGTCTAATAACAACACTTTTTTTTTTTCAATTAATAGAATTGCTGGCATTAATCCATTGGCCATTAATGCACACTGACCATGACAAGAAGATGCTTCAAGCATGCATTAGAAATTGTGGCAATAATGTTTCCAGTTCTTGTGAAGTAATAGCCAAAATCATCTCATAGTTAATAATCACCATATAGTTAATAAAAGAGTAGCCCATGCTATATGGCCAAAAGAGTGGTGATGAATATAGTTAAATCCATCTGTCATCCAGTCGCAGTGGCATTCCCTAGGGCTCTGTCCTGAGGACAGTCCTGCTTTATTGATGATCTGGAGGAGGGGATCAAGGGCACCCTTTAGTCAGTTTGCTTCCTCAAAGGAGGTTGTAGAGAAGAGGGAATCTCTTCTCCCAGGTACAAGCAACAGGACAAGAAATAGTCTCAATTTGTTCCAGGGGAGGTTTAGATTGGATGTTATAAAAATTTTTTCAGCATCAGAACAGGCTGCCCAGGGAAGTGGTTGAATCACCATCCCTGGAGATTTCAAAAAGAAGTGTAAATGTTGTGATAAGGAACTTGGACTAGAGATGGACTTGGCAGTGCTGTGTTAATGGCAGGACTCGATGATCATAAGGTTCTTTTCCAGTCTAAATTGTTTCATATTATTGTTACACAATTAAAATAAATTATTTTAAAAAGAAAGAAAGAAATTACTTTGTGAAAGAATAGTGGAAGTATTCTTTCATTGTTGGAATAAAAGAAATCGAGTTACCTTTGATGTTCTACAGGCATACCTTACATTTTGGTAATTTCACCAATAACATTCTAAATAACATTTTCATATTGCTTATGATGCTGGAGCCATCAAACAGAATATATATTCATTATCTCCTATTCTTTTCTTCTCCCATCAGCTCTGCAGCAGATTAGTCCACTGACTAATTACTCCACTGACCGTTTACTCCTGACCTCTGTGGTTTGTAAGTTACTGAAACCTCCTGGCCTCAAAAGTTCAGCATCAACTTGGCACCATTCAGTCAGGGACCAGGCTTGCCATGTCCTTTCCATGTCTGTGGCACATGTTCTTGTTAAATATAGTTCAAGAGATTACTTAGTTAAGGTTTCCACCTTGATGTCTTAACTATCTAAATGAAAGACCTCTATTTTTACATCCCTAAGGACTTCTGTCAAACTTTGTTCTTTTCTCGATTTCTTTTGTGCTATAAATAAATTGTGATAACAGGAGGAAGTAAGTCTTAGAAATATTTTAGAAACCACAACAAAAACCAAAAGTACATATATACATATTCATGCCCACTTGGAAGTAATGAGACTTCACAAACACAAGGATGTGTCAAAAACGACACAGACCAACAAAAACAATCTTTGTAATCACTGGTATCATGTGTTAGAGGTAAATTATCTGTATCACAAGATAGGCCAAAGTGTGCCCCACTAGCTAACTGTGAATTTAAAGAAGCTTTAGAGAAAGCTTATTAATTGAGTTACAGATGCAAGAACTAATAAATGTTTCAGAGGGCCAGGAGTTGTTGTCCCAGAGAAGCCTGAGTTAATTATTAATGCAAGGTGTGGAGTTACAGCTTCCAAAGTGCTAGGTGTATGGTACC